GGGGGGGGGGGGGGGGGGGGGGGGGGGCTATTGGGAGTAAATAGTTCTCTACTTGGATGAATAATATCGCCGGGCTACGTTTTAGAGCAGATGAGACTGGGATTATCTGAGCACGCCTTGAGACGTAGAATTTTCTGGATCAGCAGCTGAGAACTAAGGAAAGCCGTATCTGTTTTATAAATTGCTATATCGTTTTTAGTCATATACGGTAAATGCGCTCCTTCTAATGTCATTGTTTCTTACGGTGGCTATTTTTCTATTTCAATCGTAAGTAAAAAATGCAATGTTAATCAAGGCAATATCAATTTCTTTAGTTTTTTTAATCCTAACATCTGATTTGTTTGCACTTTTCTTTTTCATAGTAGAAGTGCAGAGATATGACTGGGATGCTAAAAAAATTGAATAACAATTAAGCAACCTCTCATTTTTCTCCTAACACCGACACGCACTTCAGCTTACAAGGGTGAAAACCTCCTTTTTTTCAAATCTCTTCTCATGTGATTTGAGGCAAAAAGCACTTTTTCGGTCTGCTTAGGAGTTCCAATTATATGTAGACCTTTTGGTGTAGTAAAGGCGTTTTTCCTTTATTTGTTAGAATGTAAAGATTAGAGAATTGAAATTTTGTGAAAAATTTTTGATCACTTTACTTCTTCTTGAACTCGGGTATTTCGTTGTGAAGAGCGAAGCAATAAGATTGTTGTTTCAGAAAAGAACGGGATATTAAGTTCGCGAGGGTAGCGACTCTTGCAATTTTCGATAATTTTGCTCAGTTGAAATAAAATTGAATTTTAGTTTGCGAAGAAGTGCTTTTTTCCTTTTTGAATGGTTTGAATGGCTAAGAATAACGAAATACAAATCTCTTTTGAAGAAAGATTCAGCTTGAATGTGTTCTACAAATATTTTCTGGAAATCCAACGTCGCTATAGAAAATTCCAGAATAGTTTATAGTATTGCTATATAATAGATCACTTAATCAATGAATTATTGATTTATGTATTTCAGAATACCGACGAAGTGATCGACTACGCGTCCGGGACTGACGCTATGACGGATACGTCGGCAATGATCGGTTTTGTAGCTGGTGAAACGCCTGGATGCAGCTATACAGGGTAAGTTATACTTTCTGCTGATTTTCCCCCCATTGCACCTATCGCAGCTTCCGCTCGACTTCCCTTCTACTCCCGCCCGACTTCGCCTCATTGTCTGAAGTGTTTATCCCCGTATTGTTCGGGTAATAGCACAGTCAAATGGTCAGAAATCATTGCCGCTCTCACGCTGAATCCTATCCTACGCAACGTTGACGAAAATATTGTTGTCGAGCTTTCGTCCCACGTCGCCCTCTCCCACACTCAATGCGATGATCAAACATCTGGAATGAGACTCTCTTCGACAAAATCCTAGAACTTCTCTGAGCAGCAGCAGTATACAGAGGGAATATGAGATGGGAAAAATGCCATAG